GTGGCCCCGGGGGAGCGGGGACAAGGACATGGGGACACAGAGGGTGCTGACACCTTCCCTATCGCCTGCGAGCACCTTCGGGGAGGGGAACAACTCACCGAGCCCACGACACCGCTGCAATATCAGACATCAACGCACCTTTGGGGGGTTTTTGTGTGAGGAAGGCGCAGGTCCCGCTCGCCCGCGGTGGCCACCGTCCCAGCGGGGACCCTGGGCCAGTGGCTGAGCCACCAGCTCGCCCCTAGAAGGCTCTTCTCCACATCAGCATCCCGAGCGTGGCAGCTATTTCAGCTACTGCAGAGGAGAACTCACAGCCAAAAGTTAAGGGCTTTGCTACCTGGACAGGTAAAGCGCAGCAGGCGTTAGCACTGGACATAAACTACGAACAACAAGTCTCAGCTCATGCTCAACACCTGCGTGTAACCTACACCAAGTTGTCAACGTGATGCCTCCTGGCCACTTCCAGACCCGCTGTAGGACCCAGGCTGTACAAGGCACACAGCCCTGGGCACACCAAGGCAGGTTTCTTACACTACAGGAGATGTTTTTGGGTGCTGCACTCCCACCCCCTTTCCCCAGAGAGCAGGCAGCCTCATCCCACCCTCCACCTGGAGGATGTGCAGCTCCAGGCTGGCAGAGCCGTGGCACAAGTGTCCCGAGCACCAGAGCTGCCACATCAAAGCCCATGAGAACCGTTTAACAAAGGTCAGTCAGTGTCTGAACGGGGAATGCTCTGCAGGGATCTCACCCGCGTGCACTAAGCTACTGCAGTTACTGGTAATTCAGTATCCTGGATACGCTGCTCTTAATTACTGGTTTGAGCTTGGACCACAGCCAAATTACACCCCAGATAAATTACCTGATGGTACAGTGTACGCTAGTTAACGTGTAACTGTCTTTCCACCTTTATCCCTCCCTCCCTCCCTCCCTCCCACCCTCACTGGAAAAAAGACACGAGTACAAACTCAAACAACCCCTGTAGTTTTATATATACCAGACCTAATCTTAGCCCTCCCACTTTCATACTCTGATTGCTACCCCTATTAACACATGTTAATTAAGCTGAAGGCTGCCAGGCAGCCTCTCCAGAGCACCCCTACCTCGGTCAAGAGCTGCAGCAGAACCTGAATTCCCAGCTTGCAGCACATCATACCACCACATGACGGTGGGCTGCCAGCGGGCTGGGCTGCCAGTCAAACCCACAAACACTAGTGTTTGAGTTTAAAGGCAAACTGACCCTTCCCTTTGTGAAAACAGATCCATCACCTCAGCTAAGCAAGCTACACATGCCGGAGTGGCAGGGTTTTATGTCCCAATCCCCCACAGCTGATCTATCCTGTGAGGATACCAAGAGAAAGCATCATGCTGCTGCTAACAACTCGCCAACAACGCAGCAGACACGGCCACCTCTTCAAATGTTTGTTTGGGAAGGACACAGTTCTGTGTGAAAAACAAGTTGTTCACTATTGAGTATGTAACATCAGGCTTGTGGGCTGACATGAAGGAAAAAAAAACCCAAAATGGGTTCTTTTCTGTTGATAAAAATCAAATTCAGCCAGGTGTAGTGCCAACGTGGAGAAAGCGAGACCCCTTCTCTGTGCTCAAACACATGCTGCAAGTTAAACTAAGCAGTGGTGGTGCAGGGAAGCAGAGGGGTAGTTAGTGGGCACTACAACAACAGGAGAGAGAACAAACCATCCCAAACCACGGCACCCTCGGCCACCTGGGCGCAGCTCGGCCGGGGCCCGTGGCACACACCCAACACATCACAAAGGAGCTCTCGCAGAACGTGTCACCAGGTGCTTTCTTCACTGTGACAGTCCATCCCGTGGCCGGCTGTCGGGGTGCAAGCGTTGGGAGCCTTTATGGGAGCACTGGCCCCAGGCTGAGCTCCACGTGGTGGGTGAGCCAGATGACCTCAGAGGTAAGATCGCTGTCCTCACTGGGCCGGATGGGAGCAGCCAGGTTTTTAAACTCATGTTTCATCTTGAAACTTACGGTCACTTCACCCTCTTCTTTCTGTGGGGTGACCTTGATGAAAACTCCTACCTTATTGGCTTTTCTGAAGGCAATGACGCTGCAAGGCAGTAAACAAAAGAGTGCTGGGTCAGCCACGTTCTCAAACAATTGTTCTGAGAGATTTATAATGCAAGAAGGATGCTCAGTTTACAGACCATGAACACGCCCTGCTAGAACAGCTGCCCTGGTTTGTAACTTACTCCTTGTTGCCCTTTTTGCAGGGGACCCACAGCCCCTCCTGCCTCACAATAAGAATGTGGGTACCCCCCTTTATGCTGACAGCTGCTGGCTCTTCTCTCAAAGAGAACATGCCAGCTGTGGCCATGGGGGTTATGCACCCCGCTGTGCAACAGGGAAGGGCCACCGTACACTGCTCCATTTGCTCTGTGAGAGGCTGCAGAACATACTCCATTTTGAAGGCTGGAGGGAACTTTGTCACAGACCCTACTGTGTAGTTGTCACCACTACCATGAACCCTCTGCTTGCAAAGGAAAGGATTACACAGAGTATTCCTGAGGAGAATTAGTACCACCACTGATAACTCAACTGCTAGAAAGCAAACCTTGCCTCAAAGGGAACAAACATCTCCTGAACAGTCCGAACCATGAGCAGACAAGAAAGATTTGCGTTGCTCATCTTTGACCACATGACTACACCCTCCCACTCAAAATCCCCAAAACACACTGAAGACAGAGTGCAGAGTGAGTTACTTGGTTGAAGTGCCAAGTATTTAAAGGACAGGAACCCCACAGAACAGACAACACTCACTCAGGGTCATCCTGGAAGTCCTGAGGCTCTGCCAGCTCATCATATTCAGCCGCAGCATCTTTGCCAGCCAGAATAAGCTCCTTGGGAGGAACTGCCACCTGAAACAGAACACAAAGAGGAGAATCCCTTTAGCATCGATCACCACCTACACTGCGAGCAGGAGAGAGCCCTCCCCTTGCTGCTTTACTACAGTTTAACAGAAAAGTGATTCATCCTGGGTTTTCCTCCACTCTGGTACCACCGGGTTACCACCCTACCAGTGAAATCATGTATTTCTCCTTTGGGTTCTGGATCTCAGTGAAGAAACACAATTTCAAAACATTTTATGATCTGATGTTTCCACTGGTGAGAGTCATTTAAGCTCCAAGGAGGAAAATGTGACACCATCAACAGGGAGCGAAGGACCTACAAAAAGTGTGACCTGCACAAGGATAAACGGGAGTAGAAAGCCTTGGAAGAGGCTTGGGCTCGCACAGCAGGAGGGTTCAATACCTTAGCAGTGCTGTTGATGTTGTCAGGGTCTCCCTCCTCACACTCCAGCAGCGTGACATGTGTGATGTTCTCCACAGGATTGGTCAGAGTCAGAAGCACTTGACTCTCCTGGGGAGATTCAGGAATCAGTTTCAAGAAGCAATTACTCTAAAATTCTTCATTACTGTTAGCACCTCCACCTTCTATGACTGATTAACACCTTCAAAAGCTGTATCCCATACACTCAAGGGATGGATAGTGAACACCCCTAGCCCATAAGAAAGATGTCAATGCCGTGCAGCACTCTTTCTTCATATAAGAAATACACATCTTTGGAATCTAGCCAAGATCTCAACTCCACACCTTTTATTCTTCAGATACTGGAGTGTGCTTGTGATGCCAGACATCACACTGCATGGTAATCTACTCATGCAGAATGACAAGTACAGGGAGTCTTATTCCAACCACTCCCTTAAACCCTACACCCTCTCTAAAGGGAATAAGCAAAGCCCTCAGGGAACAATCATCACACCATGTCATCTTCCAGAAGATCCCACATCCACACCTCCCGGCTGTGTCACACCCTAGGACATTTCTGGAAATAAAGTACTGACCTTCATGTAGCGCAGGTTGGGGATAGACATGATTCTCACTTCAGGGATATAGTTACTACAAGAAGAACAAAGCAAATGACCATGATGGACTCTGTTGCTGTCCAAAACCTACCTCCTGAGGTAGAGGGATGTCTTCACAGACATCCAGCTAACTTGTTCAATGCTATTAGAGCTTAGCTTACATTACACAGAAAAAATGAAGTGCTTTTTTGCTATATAAGCCTAATCCTAAAACCTCCTGCTACTGTGTGGGGTTGGCACAGCATGCAAACTGCTGAAATCTTCAGCAAACTTTTCAGCTCACAAAGCAAACTGACTCCAGATAAGCTGAACATATTAAAAAGGTGATGATGCCATCCTAAGAGATGACATAATCATACAACAGGTCAAATCAAGAGTATACAATAAATGAAAATAGACGGTACTAACTAAACACGGATAGGTGGTTGTTCTCCCCAGTCCCTGTATCTTACTTACACGGCAACCAGCTGGATCTTGAACTTGATAGATGTTGGATTGAATTCTGGTTTGCTCAAGTTATGTTCACAGTTCTAGAGACAAAGATATTTTAGTCAGCACACAAAGACAGCGTGCAGTCACAAACCAAAGAATCACAGCTGTAAGCACCGTGACAGTAGCCACAGCACTACCAGCCTCTAGCACAGTGCAGACAAAAAAACAACCCCAAATCACCTTGGGGTGTATGTAGCCATTGCTCTGTCAAGTTACTGATACTCTGAAAATGTCACAGCCAGCATTATCAGTGCAATCTCAGAACCATGAGATTTGGAACCCAGCTTAAAAATGCTTTGGACACTCACTGATTGCAGCAGGAAGAAGGCACAAATACCTGTAAGCCCTTTGATTTATGCTCCAGAACCCATAAAAAACCCCAAACAGCTGGAACTCAAGACTGATATCCTCATATGCTACTCTTCAAACATAGGCTCAGCCTGACATTACTTATTTCTGAGAAAATATTCTGCATTTGCAAAGCGTTCTGCATCTTACAAGAATATTGCTCTATTACTCTGGGAACTAGATAAATATCCCTGCTTCACTGAGAAAGCAAGCAGCTTTTTGAAGACCATGTAGTAAGCCAACAGCAGAACCTGGATTTAATTGTTGTCTATCTTTACTTCCCAGCTCTCTGCTTTTCTTCTCTGAAATACCCTCTTTTTGCCTGCACTCTAAGGGCACCTTCAGTATTCTGTGCTGCCTCTCATGAATATTTTGTTTGCTGACTCGATTTTTGTCTGTAATAACAGCAGAAATGTTGTTAATTCTGATTGTTCTGACTACTGGCAGCCTTCTACGATTCCCTGGCCAGGCAGAGCACACAGACCCTTACACAAACCCCCTTTTGAATCTTTATGCATCTTGGACAACATTCTCCCTCTTTCACAATCTTTATGGCGTCAGAGATGCGACAGCCTCCCTCATCTCCTAGTCCTGCTACCAGTAATTTGGTCAAGAACTTTCAACAACCAGAAGCATTTGAGCAGTTTCTTTTAGAAAGAAATACACAGCCCATTTCACAGAATCACAGAATGTCGGGGATT